GGACTCTAGCCCGAAGTGATCTTTCTTTTGAAATTATTGACATTATGAGATAACAAACACAAACAGCCCTTTATTATCAAATCCCTACCGTCATACTCCTCAAAACAGATTGTTAGAGGAGATTTCTCAATCTTGGCTTCGAAGAGGTCTTTCTTATTGAGGAAGAGGATGATGGAGGTGTCGGTGAACCACTTGTTGTTGCAGATTGAGTCGAACAGTTTAAGGCTTTCATGCATCCGATTCTGCAAGGGAAAACATCACATCCAGAACTGAAAAAAGACAACATGTGTAAAGATAGTGGACCACCAGTACAGCTATCTTACAATGCAACTACTTGAAAGTGACTGTTTTCTGCTGATAAAACTGGCTGTATGGTAAATCGTATCTCTATTTAAAATATCCCACAAATTACGTTGTCATTACATATCACACGTTACAGGGTACAAGACTTGTGTTCAACTATGTAAATTGTTTCCTACTTTTAATGTCGTTGGTGCAGGACCACGCATACAGCTCTCTTACAGTGCAACTGCTCGAAAACAAACTCGTTGGTGACATTTACAAGCTCTCCGTTCATAGATCCAATTAGCCGAGTTATTCCCTTCCCTTCCTTTTCAATGCTTGTCATAATTATCATTTGTAATCACAGAATCCAGAATAAGTGTCTTCAACAGTGAAACACTTTTCTACTAAAACGAATCAAGTCTCACCGTTGTGTCATCTTCTAACAGCCGTTGGTCGTATCCACTAAGTGCTACACAGAAGATGATTGCAGTGACGTCTTCAAAACAATGTATCCACTTCTTTCGTTCCGACCTTTGACCTCCTACGTCAAATAGTCTGTACAAAGATAATTAAACCCGCAAGTAAATTGCGGAGATTCATGGGATTTGCGGAATCATACCACATGTCACGGTTGCTAGTTAAGAAAACGACATGTATTCAGTGGTACGTGGCCTTGCCTCCCATGAGTGACGTTCCCCAGCGCAGGAAAGTGATAAAACTGAGTGCTGTTTGGATACACAATTTAGACTTCTTCTTCTGGCCATCATACACGAGCAAGATGTTCTTTGTTTTTCTTAGTAGAATCATTCAGTTGAAAATTGTACACGTTACATTTAAATATCCCATGTTTTAAGAGACATCCTTGGAATTGCGGCCAACGATAAACGCAAAAGAATGGTCTGTGCCAATGGAACGACGACGACCAGTGAGGGTGTTCGAAGAGCCGGTTTAACATGTGAAAGCTGTCACAACGTTTAGCTGCGAATGGGTTTAGTCCCCTCTCCGCCCTTTTCTTTTGAGTTGACCTTTATTTGGGTGGGTACGTTATGGTGAGTAATATAACTTCAGGTCCGTATAATAGAGCGTTCAACACATTGAGTGGATTTCCACAGGCCCAAAAACGTGTTGAATATTTTGACCAGTTAATATGAATCAAATCAAAGGATTGTGAATATATGTATGTGAAACAATTACGTGTGGGGTGTCTGTGTCATTTTCTTGTGCTTAGCTTTCGGGATTGGATGTTGTTTTGGGGGGGTGGCAGATGTGGATTGTCATTGTTATTTTCATTTTCATTTTGGTTGCGATTTTGATTTGGGTGGTAATTGTGGCTGTATCATTGGATTGATCCTGGGAGAATCAGGGCAGTGGCCGCCAAATGGGGCCATTTTGATTTTGTTTTTATATATGATTAGAGACCCTTAATTTAGCCTCACCCCCTTACAAAAATCATGAAAGTTTCCATGGGGAAATTTCAAACGTTTGCCCCTCTGAAAAAAATGGAAGACTTTGTTCCCTACAGTACAACATTTGGTTCTGAATTCACCCTTGTATCCACATCATAGGAAATGCACTGATGAAGTTCTAGCCGTCGCAAAATAGCTTGAAGAAACGAGAAATAACATAACATATAACGATGTGACCCAATGCGTTGATCAACCAGTCGAATAAAAAAAAATGAAACTATAAAATAAAAAAAATCAATAACGAAATTAGCTATGGTATCTAAGTGTTGCTTGTAAAGTGACGAGACCCTAAATAAAATGGCAGTAATACTCCGTCGCATGAACGCCAATTACCAGCTCCCTTGCATTTGAATACCTTGGGAAAATGCGGATAATTGAAATGCTGCTGAAACTCCAAACTGCGTAGTCACACACGCACAAAAATAATGTATTCTCGCTCGCAGACGACAATCTCCGGAGAAAATGGCGCCTAATGAGATTGGCACGCCGATGGCAGGCCGTTCGATCCGTAGAGCTCCATGCATGCGCGTGGGCAGCCTGGCTGCGTCATTAGTATCAAGACTACCAAGCACTGACCTCACTATTAATAATAAGAATACTAATAATAATGTCAGCTAACCAGCATACACGGCCTGTTGAAGTGTAGCTGTCCCCTTGCTCCAGGTGGTGTAATGTATGGAATTGACCAAAGCCTTGTGCGCTTTGCTACGCACGGGGATGTATAGTGCACTTTCCAATAATGAAACAATAACGACGATCCTTGACTGCGCCAGGAAAAAATGCAAAGACACTACCATACAGTATTTCAAACCGTAAAGCAAAACTGGCGAGACAACTGTGTCCAATGGCCAATAAAAAGAACAACGATATCAGTATGTTCGATTTGTCGGGCGTTTGGGAGTACGGGATGACTCAGAATGTATTATGTATGAAGTTATATTTCTTGTTTTGGGCAAAATTCCTGGAAATATTGAAATTCGAACTCGTATTTGTCAATCTTGATGGACTTCAGTACATAACAGGCTAGAAATTTCTGCAAGTCTCTATGTAGAACGTTGCAGTTACAAGTACATCAAGTTCGCAAGACCTCTCAAGCATACATGTATTTCCTTCTTCTAAGAGCTACACCAAATGTCGCGTAAAAAACTGGCTGCTATAAGGCAAAAATGCAACTTAACTTGATCTTGGGTAAAAAATGGAAGAGGTAATGAATGCCACATCGAAAAAACAGATATCGATCCGGATTTTGTGCTCAAAATGATCAGTTTGATCGTGGAGCAGGTGGATGCGTCTTCATACCCCCACACAGTAAATAGGAAATCCATAACAGTACAAAGTGATGGTTCACCGTGCATAGAAAGCACAATGAACAGTTCAACCTATGTCGTAACATGAACAAAGCAGTTTTCAAAATGGATTTAATCATCTGGCAGGAACCAACCAGACCCACAGAAGTCAACTCAATTTTGTATGACGAGCTGGTCAGGGTAAATATGAGATCCGATCACAAAGAAATTCAAGTAAGAGTGCATCAATGGGATGATAAGGTACGCCGTGGATGATTGGATACTTCATGGGTAAACCGAGGCGGCTAAAGGTGATGACCGAGGGTGTAAAACTGGAAATGTTGACCAGAGCACTCAGGTCAGTCGTACGAAGCCGCGTGCAGTAGACCTAACTGCAAAGCTCCACCAATGTTGCTACAACTGGGCCGTGTACAATACACACTAACATCGAAGCATATCCAACGTAAGCATACCCATGCAGGATAAGGCGGGTTGTTCCATATTCAAACTGACCGCAGTGTTCGCTGCTGTTTGGTATTGTATAATAAACTGGTGCCTCAGCAGGCCCCTTTACTACTATTTGTATTGGCGACCAAAAAAATGCAGAAATATCACTCTTTAATAGTTAGTGTCAGACTTTATCTCAGAATGTATACATTTGCTCCATAACTTTTACAAGAGGCCTGTTAGTATTTTTATTACGTATTCGGTAGTACAGTGTTATCTGGTCATGTGACAGTGATACCTGTCCCAGATTTTTTCAATACTTTCTCATTGTTCTGAGGGCCAGTCATATTGTGGTTAAACCTGAGGGCCAGTCATATTGTGGTTAAACCTGAGGGCCAGTCATATTATGGCTAAACCCGAGGGCCAGTCATATTGTGGTTGAACCGGAGGGCCAGTCATATTCTGGTTAAACCCAAGGGCCGGTCATATTATGGTTAAACCTGAGGACCAGTCATATTGTGGTTGAACCTGAGGGCCAGTCATATTATGGTTAAACCTAAGGGCCAGTCATATTATGGTTAAACCTGAGGGCCAGTCATATTGTGGTTGAACTGGAGGGCCAGTCATATTCTGGTTAAACCCGAGGGCCAGTCATATTATGGTCAAACCCGAGGGCCAGTCATATTGTGGTTGAACCGGAGGGCCAGTCATATTATGGTTAAACCCGAGGGCCTGTCATATTCTGATTAAACCCGAGGGCCAGCCATATTATGGTTAAACCTGAGGACCAGTCATATTATGGTTAAACCCGAGGGCCGGTCATATTATGGTTAAACCCGTCAATGGCAGATAAAAATTCGACTGTAACTGGAAAGACTACATCCTATTGAGACAGCACTTCAAACATACACCTTTAAAAGAAACCGAGTGTTATAGTCCCTCCAGTGTATTACTAACCTTTGCTTTCCCTATGGCGGTACACTTTTTCGAACGTTTTGTGAGAAGAAAAAGTTTATAAGGTAGGCTTGTTTAGGATAGTTGTCACAGAATCGCAAAATCTGCAGACTGAAACAATCATCTAATAGGATGCCACTCGCATAATTTATGTTTTCCCCAATCATCTATTACAAGCTTCAGACATTTATACATGTACATCTTCCACGAGATATTCTTTTGCCAAATTGGAAATGTTAATGGTTAATTGCTGTCTACTCTGAAAAACTCTTTACCAGAGCCGAAACCAAATCAAAGGTTAATGATTGATGTCTGAATTTGGACAATGAGTGTTTCCTGATAACAGTTTCCGAGGACTGAGAGAGACGAAACTAACGCGACCTTCAGGCTGGGCTATTTCCATCGTCACAGAAATACGCATAAAGACTGTAAAACACGGTGTGAGAGACTTCAAATGAATTGAGCTGTCACCAGTTCATTGTCCCTGATAAATGCATGTATTGGCTTTGTGTTAATGTTTTGGTCGTATGCCCTTCATTAATTCTTTCTAATAATTTTTGCTGGTGCTGTAGCGTGCGCATCTAATTGTCATGGGGGAGGGAACTATACAGATATTAACCTCCGCTAATTGCTAAATGATGAAAAGTTGTTGACACCCTAAAATTGTAATCGCAGAGTCTGGTCTTCATCTTTGTTTTGGTCCTGCTGTCTCTCTCCATGAGCCTCCGAGAGCCTCAAATTCCTGAAACTGCCAAACACTTTGGCCAATTTCAACTTAACTTGACCATATGGACAACTGATTGATATGTTGTGCACACTGATTGGGGCCAATGGTCACCTAGCGGTCAGCACCGGTCATTTTTTGTTGAAATTTTTAAAATGCTTCTCCCACATGTCTTCATCAAATGAAAACTAAAACTAACTCCGTCGCAATTTAACGCAAGGTCACACACAATGACCACAAGCAGTTATTTAATTCCTTAAAAAAACACAGCTTCCTCTGCCGCATTTGCCGCCAATTTTAGCCACATTTGGCTAAGTGCTACCTCACATTTGGCCCAAAGGTCACACAATTGTCAAAAGGTGTCATTTCTGGAATATGGACAAACTGGCTGTGTCCCACTTTTGTCGTCGATTTCAATAAATTTTGGTCAGCTACCGGTACAGGTCTCTTGCAGATTTCTTATGCTAGGGCAAAGGTCATCTATAATTGCAGCATATGTAGTTTTTTTTCTGGGAAATGACAAAATGGCTTCGTTTTCTCACTTTTTCTTACTAGGTCATTTCAGCCAAACTGTTTCAGTTATGGGCCTCCTGTAAGTTTTATGGGAACCATTTGCAGATTTGAGGCAATAGTTTCCCAGTGGTCAGAATGGTCATTTTGATGCAAACGTTGGCTATATGCTTTTTTCCCAGGCTTTTCAAATAGTGAATTCAGCTACAAGAGGTCAGTTACAGCCCTCTTAATTAAGAGCATCTGGTCATGTATTTGCAAAGTAAGGTCAAAGGTCAGCCTAATGGTAAAAAGCAGTCATTTTCCGACGAACATCCTAAATGGGTCATTTCTCAAGTGCTGTGAACTGACTGGGGCAACAACAGTTAAATTAGGACTGTCGATTATACGCAATGTTGTAGACAAAGTGTTCACCAAATGGTCAGCAATAATTGTGTGGTACACCGGCTTCGCGAAGCACCAACATGATCCTCTTTGTATTTCAGCACACTAATGGCATACAAGGGATTGGAAGTACTTCTGCCTTTGCATTGGAAGATGAAGTAACTGTAAAAGTAGCGACAAATTGCTCCTCGTCAGTAACAGCTGATACCAAGTCTCCAAATAGACAACTGAGACTTTTCATGAACAAAATGTAAAGCATCCAATCAAGCAGCAATGGGTTTAATGAAAGATTGACATTAAACAGATGAAATAAGCAGGGTCTGTTTGTCATGCTGTGAGGATTGAATAATGACTGCTCCATTTGGTTCTGTGGAGTTTTCTGATGACTATTTATCAGTTTGGACCTTCCCTAAAAAACCATTTTTCCTACTTGGAGTCATCTTACCTACCTGAAATGTAAATTTTTGAATGTGAAGTGGGTTTCTACTATTCCTGTTGTCTTGACTCGTGTCCGTAGGATGTCTTGTTCGTTAGGCAGGTAGTCGTCGGATCCGATGCGGTCCAAACTATCTAAGAAGCTAGGACGGAAAGCAGGGAAACAGACAAATTTAAATGTCAGAAATACCCTTTCTTAAATGACTCACTGTAACATAAAACCACGTTTTTGTATTATTGTCATTTTTATAGTCATTGCATTTCATTGGGCAATAACTTGATTGTTTAAAACTCAATTTGGCCTGGTTTGCATAATTTCTGTCCCACTGCCCTATCTTTATTATTGATCTTGTTAGTATGTAATCAATGCAACCAAGTGTAACTCTGGCATCCTTTTCTAAACAAGTAAATCTGTAACGTATGGTATCTTTGGGGTAAGGGGTATTAATGTGTCAACAAACTTAACATCAAAAAAGGCAAACATATGGCAACCTCTCACTGTTGCAGACTTTAAATTACACAGGGTTGACAAAGACTTCCATGGGCCTTTTTTTTGGTGGGAGTGGTAGAGTATTATGAAAGGGGCACGATGTTGACGCCTCGGAGTGCCAACTTAAGACAACCACTCAAAACGGCTAGGACTTGTGTTATGTTGTCAAAAGGTATCTTTTATTACGTGTTTTTGCCCTTACACCGACGTATATTTACTATATATTCATGTATATTCACTGTGTGCTCAGTGTTGTCCGAGAGTTCGCCAAAAACCCTAATTAAAAATCATCATCTCCCCGATGCAAGTACATCTTTGCAAGCCCAAACGAATTGTGAGAAAGAATACTTACTATTGCGCGGAGTCATTTAACTGATACTCTCTTGAACGATTAAAGCACTCCTGGATACCCATGTCAGACCAGAGTCTCATTAAGGCGCCTTTCAGGGGGGCGGAGTAGGGTTCTGAGTCTAGCATCTTACTAACAATGTCAAGCACCATCTTACAGTCGTCCTGCATGAACAGCAAGGTTTAGTACATATAGCGGTACAATGGTTGACAAAAGCCAGACACGATGAATGATAGACAACAGGAACTTGAAGGGCAATCGCAATTCTTGTCTTTTCCACAGTGTCATTTGTCAACACTTTGTACTTGGGAAAGACTGAAATAAATCTTGCGCAGATTTCAAGTACGTGGTTGAGAATTTTGAATTCAAACTCCCCAAATATTTGCCAGTTGGCCCACGGAGAGAGTTTTCAAGTGTATGTGGACGGTATGTAGGTTATGACCTTCACCCAGATTACGTCATCCGTAGCAAAATAACCTCGCCTAGAAAATGTTAAAGAGAAGTTTTGATTCATTGTTAATTCCATCTCTTGTTCTGTATGGGACGTCCTATGGGCAGACTATCGCGTATTGCATTATGATAACAGCGAATGAGTGATCCATTCTATCTGCACCTACCTCTCTTCCCGGGTCTTCGTAAGCTATCTCCAGTTTCTCCATAGCTCTCAGTATGGACACCATAGATTGTAACGTGTTGCTGAATACAACTGGTCGGTAAACCTTTGCGTCTTCATCGCTGAACCCCTCCTCGTGAATAATTCTAAAGACGATAGGGACAAACGTTTACCGTTAATTCTAAAGTTTCTTGGAATCAATCAGCAATGTCCTTGCTGTTGGAAGCTCCGCCAATGAATATTCTGTAATGTTCACTCGGGCCTCGTTTACCATCAAATATTTACTACTAAAACATAACGGTGGTTTAAATAAAGGAATAAATATGTGCTTGACGGGTCTTATTGTGCGTTTAAGACCGGCTCAGGAGAATGGACGCGACTAATGCCCAAGCCGCAGGCGAGGGCATTATCAGCCTTAAAAATACCTGCTTGCCCTGAAGAAGGTACTCAGTTACCGAAAACTCGGCAATCACATATTTCAGAGCAGTATATTATATTCTTGTCGTTATAATGATCACGGTGCTACTACACGCAACCCTTCCATATTTCAGAGATGGAGTAAACTGTCTTGTGTCCAGGCGCTGGGTGTACCAGCGTGTGTTTTACGCAGCAGGCATTACCAAATGTTAATACGCGGTCAAATTGCACATTGTTGAATACGGAGACTGTCTGAGGTGTTTATGAATGCAGTGTTCAAGATCTATCCCATATAGAATGTTAAAAATATAATGTTAAATTTAAGTTTACTGATACACAAACACGAATCACCTGGACTAAAGAATCAAGTTGGTAAGTTGGTTTTAAAAAGGACTACTTACTTGTTTTTAAAAAGATCTAATCATGTGGAGGTATGGAGCCTGGATTGTGCCAAAGGCTACAAACTGGTTTAGGAAATGGCTTGTGATAGGCGGGCGGTAAATGATGCGTGTTCCAAACAAAAATCATAAGCAAGCAGCCCTGGACGATTTCCTAGAATGCCTGATCATACCTTTATTGATTCGGTACAGATACAAAATGCTCGCCAAAATGGAATCGTCAAACGACCACCAGTCCTGATTACCCCGGTGAAACCTTTTCCTCTTCAACTCCAAAGCTTCGTTCCCTGATAGGTCATTGCCTGACTGCCAAATTACAATTTAATAGGACGACTTGGAAGTAGTGCTAACTTGCAGATAAGCACGATAAAGTATAATTTATGTAGAATTGCCACAGCTGGCCTAACCTAGTCAACCTTCCATGCAACTGATAGACATGTGGTTAAATCAAGAAGGCGTGGTGACTCGAGTACCAATGTTGCCAATGCCACAAAAAGTTTAGTAAGTGTGTTTCCTAACTTTCTTCCCGAATCATTGGGGACAGCATAGCAACCCTAAAGTGGTAGATGTCCGCGTATTCATGAATGTACTTTGGGAGAGCACATTGACAAAAAAGTAAAACGTACAAAATCTCTCAAAAAAGTATATATATATATCCATCCATTACACGAAATTCTAACCTATGCTTAACTTGAATTTGCGTAGAGAAAAAAAAAACATATTATAACAAACTTAAAGTAGCTATATTTTACACATAATGGACTGGCAATGAGGTCAATAGTGCACGTCTATGTCCCTGAGGGACTGTGAGTAACGAGAAGAGGATCCTGTATTTCCTCAGGCCCGAATTTGGCCAGTCCATATGTTTTACAATGCACCTCAAACTAGAAAAGTATTCATTTAGGATTTTAACTGTTTTAATTCAACTTTCAATAGCACTTCAAAAATCGCAAAAAAATTAAGGTTTATTTTAGTGTCCCTTGACGTAGTCTAACTTTGAGTTGTTAAACTCAACAGGGACAAGGATTCTTCAAGGGTTTTAACTGTTTAAATTCAACTTTTCACTTAATACCAATTCAAAAAATGCAAAAATTAAAGGTTCATATAAGTTTTCATAGACGCACCGAAATTTTGAGTCGCTGTATACAATTAGAAAACATATCTTCCAGGTCTTTAACTGTTTTAATTTAACCAACATTTAAAGTGAGCCATAGCAACCTCCGGAGGGCGCAATAACCAGTCAAAAATATTCAAGACTAGTGCCTGACCGTGCACTAGTCTCTAGAATTGATGCACGCACAATGTCTAAGCGCATGTCGAGTCACGCTGACGCCAAATTCATATACTTGCCCTTATCAGTGAACCACACATGACCGTATTTCAGCCAACCAGGATAGAGAACCAGGACGAGGTGAGTTACAATATGCAAATGTAACATGGTTTGAGGTTATGGAGAGAGTGAAGCAAAAGGTTGTACCCCACCATGGTTTGAGGTTATTGGGAGTTGACAAAATAGTTTGCCAACTCCCTATACCTCGGGGAACTAACATCGACTGTCTAACCGAAATAAACCATGTTAAATTTCTTTTACTAGGCCTATACCTCATACATATTTTATTTAACAACCTCTGAAAATAAAAACGTTGCCAGGCTGGCGCCACCCGAGTGCACAGTACACCTGGGCGACGGTTCCTAGATTTTCTGCTACAGCGCATGCGTTTTTAACTGTTAAAACGCATGCGTATTTACTACTTGTGTGAATGATCTCGTGTGCACAAATGATAGTTCGGCGATCCGTCATGAATATGTATGAGGTATAGTAATAATTGGTATGTCCAGGTTTGAAACTCTGTCCTCCGAGTATCGTACGCTATAAAGTAAACGACCGATACGCACGTATGTATGCAAATCTATGTAACCCGATAATCCGAACGGAATCAGGAAATAGTCAATGGTTCTGTCATGCCACATGACATTGTTCTTCAACTACATGTACATCCTGAACACATTTCTTCCCACAAAGCAGTACAGCCTTAACGAACGCATGTTTCTAAGGACACAGGCGATACATTTGTTCGAACAGCCCTTGGATTATGAGAAAAGTTAGGCCTAGTTAATTATCTTGCTCGGTTGACGTTGGTGCGTTATATTTTTAGGACTGAAGGCAACGGCAAAGTAAATGACCACTGACTGTCAACGATGGTGTCTGGCCGTGCATAATTCATTTGCAAACGTCTACTCCATAGACTAAGTAAACGGGACTCTTTCTCTGAAAACCTAGCGCTATTGTTGTCTGTAAAAATAATTTTAACGTTCAATCTCAACACTGATTTTGTAGTGCTAGCGTTAGTGCAGCACTATTATAAAAAAAGAGCCAAGTGGCGCCTACGGAGGCAATCTCATTCTCCGCTTACTGGGCAGGCAACGGAGTTTAACCGCGCAGAGCCTATTTTCTTGAAAAAGTTTAAAGGCAGCACACCACAGTCAGATGAAGTTTGACCTTATGAATGTCTATAAATTTGTCATTTGGAAATAAATTCCGAATCAGTCATTTTCACGACATAGTGGCTCACATCAGCCCCTGTCATGACGACAATGCAAGACGAAAAATTGGGTCAACCAGAATCAACGGTCGTTTGACCTCAATTTTACATAGTATCATCTGCGTATTAATGTTTCCATTATGATGGACGGTTTGGGGACGAAAACTCTGTCGTATGAGCCAGGAGAAAGTGCATTACGCTTTCATATTATCCGCTTGACAGGTGTTCGTTGAGATCATGTCTGTATACTAGACCGAGCAGAATTATGCGAACATATACATGTACATGACTTCCCGCGCCCAGCGTCTGTGCAACTGGTGGGACATTATGATGCCGCTCGAATCGAAACGCAGTATGATCGACATTTGAAGGTAACATAAAGGCCGGTTTTTATTAGGCGTAAAAGCGAACACTAATGCATATTTGTGACGTAAGATTATTCCCATTGCGAATATGTAAAAGTTAAACGAATTTCAACAGGAGCGAAATTTCCCTGCCAATTTAGCTTTAGTGAAATGTGAACCAGCCCTTTGAAAACAACTCAAACTGAATAATAGATACAACCGCGTGTGAAAATTTTCCCTTCCACTGTAAAGGGTGTAAGGTAATATGCAGTTGATGACCAATCTTCATAAAATGCATGTTGCATTACATCCCCCGATAGTATATTCTTTATTTACAGTAAAATAAAACATTATATAATGAAATTACTCAAAAACTACATTGACACCCATAAACGTAAGCCCACTGACAACCAATAACAATGAATGTATATAATCCATTGTGAAAGGCGAGATTCAATGGAAACATTGTGACACCTGTGGTCTTGAAATGCTGGAAGATTTCGCGTGTAAATTGTGCACAGGTAGACGTGACAGCGCTCAATGGTTCGTTGTTCGTCAACTTGGTGTCCAAAATTACAACATGTCAAAATAGCAGGATTCTCCGTATGTGTCCTTCATCAGGCAACGTTGTTCCACTAGGACTCGGAGTTTATTTCCATAATCAATTCGAGAGGACATGAACAAAGATCCTTGCTGCATTTGTATTCATTATACTCATTCGTTTTTGTGTGTGTGTTTGTTTGTTTGTTTTTTTTATTGAGTGAAAATCTTGTTGCACAGCCGTGCAACAAGATTTTACGTTCCCAGTGTTTCTCACTTTAAGAGCAATATTGTTCGTGCTCTGCGGACAACTGATAACACAAATTCTGTAATACTCGATGCAACGGGTAATTTAATGTATACTCGACAGATAATGCACTTAAAGCAGTATACTGTACCCCTTCTTCGTCGGCACATGGGGTTACAAAATCAGAATTATATACTCAGTTTGATCTACTGCAGATAAGTGGAAGTCAAGAATTGATTTTACAGCGTTTAAATTAACCGATATCTTTTTCTTCACATTTAAAAAAACCCACATACGTCTAGAACATTTTTAAATAAGTATTTAATAGCTGACTGTTATAATAGCAATATTCGTGTCGTGGATATATTTCAGATATTAGAAGGGCGTGATCAATAACGTAGAGCGTGCGCAAAAAGGCGTGGTTATATAATGATCCAAAAATCGTACATTGTTAAGATATAGGCCTACACACAAGAAATTTATGGAAATTTTCCGAATCCAGGTAGAACCACTATGTGTCACATTGTATTAACATGTAAAAGGTCCTTGCGATTCTATCGACCCCCCTCCAAATAAATTTATACAGCATACCGTTTAGATTCTTAACTATGTCTGGGGTGTGGGGGTTCTGGGAGAGACAAGATCAAAAAAGTGAAC